TTTTTCCAGATTGTGGCCCTCTTCGCAGCTTTCTGGGCTTCTCTTCACACTGTTGGCCATTGCGTAAACTTCTACCATGTTGCCACTCAAAGTCAAGAGGGTCTGAACTGTCTATTCCAGGAAGCGGTCTTTGGGTGAGTTCACAAAATTTATGAGGGTTCTCTAAACATAAAAATTATTTACAGATCCAACTTCCTACCCTCTATCAGCTACTGGTTCTATGGTACCATAACGGGTCTGACCGGTATCCTACTCGTAGCTGTTATGTCAATCATATATGTATTCGCTTTGCCATGTTTTATGAAACGGGCCTACCATGCGTTCCGGTAAGGTTCAGAACACAACTGAATCAACATATTTTATTTGATAAAGAATGGTCACAGTCAGGGGAAAGATAACCATGCGTATTTTCTTCGAATAAAAATTTTTATACTTTTGCAAACGCAGAGATAAAATCTCAATATTGCTTACCTTTCTCAGAGTTAGCATAAAAAGCAGTCGGAAATTTGAGATGCCTGGTGGTTTTGCATCGTAGAGAGTTACATAGTAAATCAGACTTTTTCATACGCGAGTCATGGTATGCTACTAGAATAGTCGAAATTTGATTGGGTTGAAAAATCTTACAGTTTATACTTTTATTATGTTCGACTATTCCAGGCTTACCCACTTGCTCAACGTTGCATTCTATGCCTTGACGGTACTACACGGTTTACCAAAGTTGCTGGATGTAAGTTCTTCGATTTCTCCACTCCTTGAAGAAAATGGTCGTTTTGCACCAACACCGTATGTTATCGTAACACTGCGTAGCCCTTGAGAAACGTGGTTGATGCAGTTTTACATAATATGTTCGATTATCGTAAAGAAGGAGGTGTCGCATTTCTCCTCGCATTTTGAAAGCTCTCTAGGTTGCTGCATTCTGTAGCCAGAAGGTTCGTATCTACAAACAGAAATTTGATACATTTTATTTCAGTCCCCAAAATTCTGGTACTATGCCATCGGTCCTGTGATCATCTTTGTTATCGACCGCATTATGGGAATGCGGCAAGAATACAAGAAACTAAAAATTCTTAACGCAGAATTATTGCCATCCGGTAAAACTCCTTTCCTCGGTTCTTTCATAAAAAATTTCGTTTCCAAGTTTTTCAGACATCATCTATCTCCAATTCAAGAGACCATTATCGTTTAAGTTCCGGTCCGGCCAATGGGTTCGGATCTCGTCACCTGCTTTCTCTTGCGCTTTTAATGAATGCCATGCGTTCTCACTTGCTTCAGCACCTCAAGCACCAACGCTTGAATTATACATCAAAGTGAGTTAAGAATTTTGGAAAATCGATAAGCATCTTTACTACTGCGCTTAGGCTGTGGGGCCATGGACTTGGAAAATGAGATCGGAGATTATACGAGCACAAGCAAATGGATCACCTTATCCTCTAGTACATATGAATGGACCATATGGCGATGGAAATCAGGTAAATCCTGTGTGAGATTTTTCGCCTGAAACCTTGCAGACTTCAGTATGATATAGTACAAGCGGCAACCTGTTATAACTGAAATCAATCATCTTTGCTGAGACAATTTTTTTGGAGAAAAATATAGCTAGCTCAAAGAATCTTCTAGCCTATCTATATCTAGCATTTTTTGCTTTTTTATCTAGCATGATGGAACGCTTGTTCAAACGATCCGTTCAGTAATTAGCGTAATTGCTGAAATCTACTTTGGAGCACAAACTTACCTTTGTAATGAAGTAAACACTTTAACACAGTTAGTTCACTTACTCTTAATAACATTTGCTATGATCATACTTTCGATGGTCTGGAGAAAGACCCTGCAAAGGTCCTTGCTGGATGGGTCAGGTCGTTCTCCTCTTCTAAGTGAGTGAATGAGGCTGCTCCGCCGGGACGCTTTTCCTCACCGAACGCAGTTACAAAGAACGAGAAGGGGAGATCCGTAGGTAGATCGCATACTAGTCTTCAATCTCCTCAAACAGCTAATCTAAGCAAAAAAAGTTGTTTTAAACATGTAAAAAAGTCAACAACCATAATGGCAGCCAAGCATCAAGATCCACTCAGGATTACCATCACTACTTTTTGGAAAAATTTGCATGCATGGCTCAATAGTTCAACTGCGCATTGGTGACAAAATCGCATTGCGTACGAAAGACATACATGCCGATAATCCTGACATTGACCACCAAGCGTGAGGGCGATCAAAATTCGTTGCAAACGCAAGCGAAAAGAATCTGATGCATACGGGTGCTATGACTCATCGAGTTTCTTTGGTGGTGAACTGCTGATTTCTGCCCAGGACCACCTTTCTAGGGAGGGGTTACAAGGGAAGCCACTTCCTTTTCGCGATAGTCTCAATCGCAAACTGTGAATGGCAACGGTAAGAAAAGGGTAAACAGAAAAGAATTTAGCTCTTGAATGGGAAGCTTCGTTTTCGAGACGAAGCACATGGCAGAGCCAAATTATTTTCGATGCGTCCTTCAAAATTTTGTCCCCTTGTTACTTTTGTTCCCGGCGACATTGTCGGCGTTGTTCTGTCTTTATTTCGAGCAAGAAACCCCTGAGCATAAAAAATGGTTGCGAAACCCAGTCAAAAATGAACTACGGACCAAAAGGCATTTTTACAGCTTTGCTGAGTATTTCGCCGCACTCGAAAAAGTAAGCTGTCTGCATTCAAGAGAAAAACAAGATGTATCGACCGCGGATTCTTGGCGATTCTATTCTGTTCATTATAAGACTTTAGCACTAACAAGTCACCGACGTTATAAATCAGAAGTTTCGTGCGTGTCTCTGTGCAATTTGAGCAACTTCTGCTTCGACTATTTTCGAAATTTTCTGAACTCATTAGTAGTCCGAGAAGAGGTTATTCGAGGAATGTTATTCTATTTTCGGAGATTCAGGCAAATCTCGTTTTTAACACGAATAAGATTATGAAAAAGCAATTTACGATGCAGCTGGAATATTTCAGTCGGTTATTACCTATTATACTTCCCTCATTCAGAATCATTCTGACTTAGTTGTGAGTTTTGTCTCCTTTTTAAGTCTTTCATAACTATAATTTCTAGGAATGGACCAATTATGAAGTGGCCGTTCTCATTGGTGGAGGAATTGGTGTAACACCCTATGCATCCACGCTGACTGATCTTGTCCTTGAGACGACCTCAGGAAGGCATCATAGCGTGAAATGCAAAAAAGTCAGCACCTACCATCCAATACCATCATATATCTACAAACTCGCTTCCAGGTTTATTTCCTGTGGATTTGCCCAACACATAAAAATTATGAATGGTTTGTGGATGTACTGAAGGATGTAGAAGAACTGGATCGAAATGAACTGCTTGAGACACACATCTTCGTCACTCAATTCTTCCACAAGTTCGATTTGCGAACGACTATGCTGGTAGGTGATATCAAGTTAGAAGTAAATCCACGGCCACGCGTCAGGACTCACACCTTGCACGGCGGCCGCATTGGCGCGCACGCTGCGTTC